TGTTACTTAAAATTAATATGGGAGAAATAAAACTGTCATCATAACTGACAGCGCCATCTATCAGCAAGAATATTTTAGAACGTCGAATGGGACAGCTTCTCATCTGTAATTCGCCTGACTAATCAAGTAATAACAGTGCAGGATTCTTTAACTACAAAAAATAGCTTAAAGAAGGATATTAAAAAATAGTTTCCTCCTTTTTTAAAGGAAATATTAACATTGAATCCCAAATTCATCTTTGATGCATTGCAGAATTGGATCATGCACACACCGCCAGGAGATGTAACTTGAAACTTAAGAGTGCTTCTATAAATGCTATTCTACAATTAAATCATGCCAACCAGTGACATCTACTCGCAAATAAAAAATTTCTCAATTCAGTGGACAAGTGGGACAACATCACAGTTGAATCACAGCATATCGTTGGTGGTCTTTGTGAAGTTACTGTATAGTTTATATGACGTTTTTGTATTTCAGTATATATATACAATATATATATAATACAAACCTTGAACCTGGCACTGTTCCATTCTGCCTTGACATCATCGTTGGTCGCAGCCACTGATTTTTGTCTGCTGCTGAACCAACGAGACAAACTGACCCAACTTGAGCTTTTCTTGTTCAATTTCAAATGAGCGGCTTCGAATTCCACAATCATTCTGTCAAGTCCAGCCACACTCTCTCTCTTCTCCACCAAAACGTCTCTCCATTGCCCTTAAAAAAATTTTAACATTATTGTCACTGAAAAAAATAAACTGCCAGAATATCCACGATCAAATTCCAGGCAGTTTTTACAATGTTCAAAGTTTTTAATTTATGCACAACACTCCTAAACTTCGACCTCTAATGCGCGAAAAAAAACCGCGGGCAATTGACCTTATCCTCTTACCCTCTGGAAAACAGCTGTTTTCCAACGAAAGCAATCAAGGTTTAATAAATGAATGAATAAAAATTTGAATTATTGAAATGCTCTGTCGCCAACTTACGTCCCATTTCTTTGAGTGAAACTAGTCCTCCGTACTCCAAGGGAATGCATTGCTGGGGCAGCAACTTTTTCATCGACTTGTCCGATCTGTACAACTGTTGAAACATAAAAAAAAATTTAAATTCCTTGAAAATCAGATGAACAAAAAATATTTCACGATGTCTGACGCGTCAATCGGGGACAAGGACGCTCGAAATCTTGGGAAATTCATCAAGATTTCGCTACATTACTGAACCTTGAGTAATGAAAAAAAGGGGTAAAATTATTTCTGAATTATTCTCAGCTCAAAAAAAAAGGATTTCAAACTTTTTTTGCGTTTTTGGCATTTATTTGTTTCTACAAATAAAGTCTCACGTTGATACGAGATCGAATCTTCTCGCTCAGAACGTGCTTCGCAAATTCGTAGATGAGGAAAAATCCCATGGGTTGGTTCACCAAATTGACTGCCTGGTGTCTCATGGGCAAAAAGCGCTGGAAAAAAAATTAAAATCGTTCATCTAAATTCAGCAGCAATTTCGAATGAACTGGCGAGGGTTTCAAAGAAATAATAGCATACTTCTCCTTGCGACACAACTTTATGGAATTGAGTTGGAGTCCAAACACTGATGTAGGGAATGGAAACTTCCTTGAAGTCGAAAATGTAAGTGAAGCCTCGGATTTGGTTTTCTTCATCTTCCAAAGCCGTTTCAAAGTTCAAAATATGCGCTCTGATCAAATCTGCGGCTCCGTATTTTGAAAGATCGAACATCTCTGAAAATCATACATATTTATTCGTCAATAAATTGCAAGCACTGCGGTCAAGAGATTTCTTCAAGGGAAAATAAATATGTTCATCGAGGTACTAAAAAAGTTATCATAAAAGCTGAAAATTAAATTTATTACAGGCATTTATAGTTTTAATCTTGCTTCAAAATTCCTTTCTTGGATGAAATGCTCATGGGATCAGGTATATTCAATAACATTTCCATCTTGTTGAAACGGAATTCCTTAATATAGGAAAACAACTTATGATTTTCAAAAAAACTAACTGAATAATTTCAAGCTACAGTACTAATGAACCTAAAAGGATCCTAAAAAGCTAGATGGCAATTTGTATGACTCAGTCTTGAATTACGATACCTTAATCCCTGCCAGCGACATCTACTCGTGGTAAAACAACTCTCCTCTGTGGTGGACAGACTAGAATTTATCTTTCAAGAGCATAAATTTACCTCAACTGGAAACTGATCTTTTAAAATCATCTCCAGTGTTGATTTTCTAGATTTACGTTTTTTATTACTGTATTTAATTAATTATGTTGCTCAGGTACGATTGTGGGCGTGAATTTTGGTGAAATAAAATTATACTCACTTGCGCAATGGAACAAAACCTTCCGTCCATGACTGTCTCTTTCTGGAAGCACGATAGTGCAGCTGAAAATTTAAATCCAGAATGTACGCGGCATATATCATCTGTTTTCTGCAATTGGAATTTCGAGCAATAATTTTTTTTTTACCCAGAAGAGACGATATCGTTAAGAGCCGGGTCATTGATGTCAAGGTTCTGGTACCACTCGGGAATCTCAGCTCGCATCCGCAAATATTTCTCCAGCGTCTCCTTCGCGGCCTCCAAGTTGAATTTCTTCATGCGCAAAAACCTCAGCAAAAAATTAGCATCTGCGAAAAAAAAATCCCTAATTACTTGTACAGGATTCTCGTCTTCTTCTTCGAAAGCTGAGATGATGTAAGTTCCCGAAGCACACGAAGAATTATATATTCTTCTCGGAGAGACGCTGAATCTCGGTTTTTTTTTCCTTGGTTTGGCGTTTTTCTGCCGTGAGATTAATTCGAGGTTGGATATATACTGAAAAAATTCCTTGTTTTTCCTTGAACAAAGCTTTTCTGGTGGGATATGCTTGTCGACGACGAGAACGGAATTTTTTGTGCTTGTAAGGTTAATCCCCCAGAAATTTCGTATCAGCCTTGAAAATCTCCGAAGAGAATGCCCCACAATATTACACAATTTCCCATAAAAATATATATTCTTTTAAATTTTTAAATGTAATTTCTGCGTTTTTTTGGAATTCAGTCCCAGAAAAGCCTTCATTGTGAAACTTTGAAACGAAGGGAAAATTCAAACTTTTCGTTTCGATGCGTGAGATATTTTCTAGCAACAGAGATAATCGAGTGTCTGAAACCAAGAGTCTCTTGGTCTCTATAAATGAAGAAACTAATGCCATATGATATGAGCTATATTTATTTTAATTTTGAAAATTATTGTAATTGCGCAACTTTTTTAAAATATAATTCGCGCATAGGTGAAAAGGTTTGTCGAATTTCAAGTTGTGGGCCATTCGAATTCATTAATTTTCGAAAGTCGAAACATGCCAAGAATTTCTCGTTTGTTTTTGGTAAATACACAAAAATAATTATTCGATAAAGTTTGATACATTTTGAAAGAGGAAACACGCCTATACAATATTTCGTGTGGAAACTTGGTGTGGCAAGAAATAATTATTTCCGACACGCTGGTTTTCGTGTGTGGCATGCATTAAACCCGTAATTTTTTTTACACAGCTCTGCTCAAGCTACTAAAAAATTATAACAGCAGCGAAATAAATACTGTATATGCAGAAAAAGTTGATGCATGCCACCGGGATGATCCGGATAAGAACATCAGCAAAATAGTTTATGCGAATGTTCTTATTGTCCAGCAGTGACATCACGCATATCATGTTGCTCAATATGTGTCCTTTTTTTCTAAGCTAGTCATGCTTCAGGGGCTTCTGAATATTCAGACATAAGGTTTTTGGATACGTGTCTTCAAGGGATGATCTGAAAGTTTCATCAAAAGTCCTTCAATAAAAATAAAGTTTTCAAACTTTGCCAAATCATGAAGAAATTCTTATAGTGGGCATTCTTACGATTCATTTTTGGGAATTTCTTTGTTTTGAAATGCGCCCACTTTTTTCATTTAGATATTTTGAAATTACTCGCATTGTAAGGGTTAAACTGATGTGAAATTGTATATTGAGGGTATTTTCAATTGAACTTGGCTTTCAGATCTTCCAAAAATTGTCTTGACGATTTTTGAATCCATCGAAGCGTATCTGGTAGAATTAAAATTGCCGGCAATAATTCACAGATAGTTTGACTGATGGTAAAACGTATTTTTCTGCGTTTCTCTAAATTTCAAAGTTGAATCAATCAACAAACGATTCGAATTTTATTTTGTAAGATTTATTTTCGCATCAATGCTTATGCAACACGACTCCATAAAAAAAAAATGCTAGACTGTAATATTGAACTTATGAACTATCCTTCGCATTCGGCAATTTTCCAGAGCATCGATCCGTATTTTTCCGCCATGTATTTTAAATGTAAACAAGGAGTCATGCATCGTGATTTCTGCAAGGCTATGAAAAATCAAAAGCCCATTTGTCATGCTTCACTTGAGGTTCAACCTGAAACAATGGAAGCTTATTTCGCAACTTCAGGCATTTTGGAAAAGTAGCGCATTAAACTTACGAATTATGTTTATCTTGATATTTGAGCTTTTAGTGAGGATATTTCCTAGAAATAAAAAAAACACATTTTAAATACATTCTTCTGCTAATGTTAAAAAAAAATAGGATTGGGTAAATTTGTAATTCAAACTGAGCTTCGCATAATAAATTTTTCTGTACCAATCGCTCTTTTCTATCGGAAAAAACAGAAACTGATTCTTTTAAAAAATAAGAAAATTTTTAAACGCGCAGTTTAATCGTAAGTTTAGTATAATCAGCGAACGAACTGGTATCCCTTTATTTATGTTACAGATAACTTTCGGAATCCGAAAAGTGATCAAAAGGTACACAAATATATCTCCATCACCGAATTTCCACAAGAAATCCAAGGACTTGCTCAACATCACGCGTAGCGAATGAAGTGCGGTGATGAAAACCTGAAATTGGGCTGCTTCTTTCAGAACCGTTTAATTTTTCGCAAGAAAAAAGTGCACTTTCAATTGCCTTCATACATGAGAAAATGACATCTCGTTCATCGTTCAACCCACATTCAACAAACCGAGACAGAAAAAAAAGCGAGGAACATTTTATTTTAACGGCGACCACCGACCGAAAAGTACTAGACTGACACCGATTCCAAACGCACCCCAAAAAGTTGCGCAAGAACATGGTTTTACTATGAGTCCCCCTCAAGCCATAATTTCCCCCCACCTTTGTTACTGAGGGAAAGTAAGACAGAGAANTAAAAGCTACTTGCCACCGAATGCGTGTCAAGCATTGCTCAAGTTCTCGGCCACAATAAGGCAACAGCTGAGACAAAGAAGAAAAAGAGTACTTGGAAAGTTCTTCTGATGGTTGCAATAATAATGAGTATACCCATGAGAGAAGAATAATGGTTCCTTTACCAGCTGCTGTTCTGAACTTCAACTTGCAAGAATCGTTTTTGCCAAATCCGTTTACCCAACTGTTTCTTTGTTTGTTTCTCAAATTACTGCAAAGTCTTTATCTTTCTATTCGTATACTTGATTTGCGAGGAACTCTGATTACTTCCAGCATTGTGCCTTTGTCCGGATGATGAAAATAACCATTTAATAAAGCTCGTTTCCAGCATTTGAGAATATTTGAAAATTAGCTAAAGTGATATATGTATTACTGATCATTCAAATATATTTCGATTGCCCTGTTTATTCATAAATATAAAATAAATAAAGCTATTCAAGTGAGCCAGCAGCACAAATTCAAAAATCTTGCTGAGTGCTTTTTTTTTCATGAATCGAAAGTCGGGCACGGTAAACTCAGATATTCAATATATTGAATAATTATGTAATTTTCAATCTTAGAAATGATTTTCGTTCGTTTCCCTTGAACATCATTTGGATCAGACACCAATTGAATTGCGTCGGCAAAAACCACTTCAAGCTCTTAATGCTTCATGAAATTACAACTTTTCTTCCTCGTATTATGAAAAGTTCCGATAAAAAATTCGTATAATTCAAAATTCATCTTAGGTTGGGTGCATTATTGCAGTCGACGCTCGAGTTAGTGATTTCACAGAAACCTGCTGATTTCTAAAAAAAATAAGAAACTCGCGAAGATTTCTGAAAAATATGAAATAAATGCATATTTCGAAAAAAGTGTTATGCAATACAATTTTAAGCACGAAGAGGAGATGATTATATTGAAGAGTCACTTCGGTGAGAACGAAGGAAAAAAATATCCCTTGCGGTCATTTTGTGAATTTGGAAGGAATTGCGAAATTTTCAGCTCCAATAGAACTTGAAGAGCAATTTTTCATCAAATATAAGTGAAAACAGAACCCTTGCTTGAGAAAATGGAATATTTTCTTGTTTATCTTATTTTATTCATAAGCTTACATTACAATTTTTTTTTGGTCTATGACCGAAAAGAGGTAATTTTCAAACATATCAGCTGATGATCGCAGTGGACTTCATTATGCAAAAAATTCTCTAGAGAAATTTTCGAAATTCCTGTTGCCAAACGCCCCCAAAAAACCAGGTCCGGACAAATTAAATTAAAACATATCTGAATTATATCGTTTAAAAAAAGCAGAAGGGTTAGAACTAAATTCCCAGCAGTACACCTTCATCATTTATGTGCCAAAAATTGGAAATTTGCACTGACCTCGTCTGCAGTAAGTGAGTCTCGAGTCCTCCCTGATGAATTCGCGCATGTAAGCCAGACCCTCATTGCGAACTTCTTCAGTTTCGCCAACTTCCAGTCTGGCAACTTCTTTCAAATCCTCAGACAGAGTCCATACGTATTCGTCTTCCACGAGGTATTTTTCTTGCCAAATTGCATTCTCCATTTCAGCTTCGGGCGACAATGAAGTTGAAGACGCAAAGGAAAGCGAGCTCTTGGACTTTTCCATCTTTTTTTTTTCGAACTTTCGACTATTTTTCTTCAAATTTTATTTGAACGGCAACGCGAGATATGCTTCTCAAAAAGCCTCAAATATTAGCAGGAATCTGAAAAATACGCATAAAATCGACCTTTCAAGCCATTACTTGATGACAGGGCTTAAATGCGATCCGAAAATTCAAAATGTCTTTGCTACACCAGAATATCAGCTTTGATCG